AGGCATGGCCCATAAGTCACAGGGGCACAGCAATTCCCAGATCTGCTTGAAGAAAAGTCTCCTGCACAAGGTCTTCAGGATGAGATGTTTTTATTCATCCCACATTCACTTGTTTGTTTGTTTCTCCTAATAAGACATGGCATTAAATTTGCAACTTTCTCAAAGTGCTAAGACTAAGCGCCGGTTGTGGACCAAGCAGCAGTCTGCGGGCTGCAGGGCAGGCGAGAGCGGCCGGTGCCTGTCCCTCGGCAGTCCCCAGCACGACCTCCTGTGGACAGGACCGGTGTGTCCTGGGGCCTACCAGGCCCGGCCCGCAGACTGCTGCACTGAGGCAGACACTGCGCCCCCCACACTGGAAAGGCTCCCCAGCAGCATGGGGAGCATCCTAACCACATCCTGGGAGCTAGCATGCCCAGCTCTCCTCACTGACTTCTCAGACACAGGGAAGACATGGAGAAACTTTCTCTTGATATTTTCCCTATTGAATCTCAAACACTTCCCCTCCCACTGATTTCACAGGGCACTTTCCTGGTCTTGATTTGTAAGCCATTGGGCTCTGAAGCTGAGGAATTCACAGGGCTGGTGACAGAGCCTGTTCCTGGCCTGGCCGGCTGGGGAGCCTTTCCCAAATGTGGGTGCTCGATCCCACAGAGCCCGCACTCGCCGCCCGGGCAGGCCAAGGGCAACTGGCACAGAAATGTGAGCCTCGCTCTGCAAGTGTCAGCTCTTCTGCAGTCACTGTCTACAGACAGTTTCCCGGCTTCTGTGTGAAGCAGTGAAAACTTACACAGACACAGAGGCTTTGCAGGGAATGGTGCTACAGGGGGCTGTTCACCAACATCCGGGTTCTCCTCAAGGGCACCTGCTGGAGGACTTGCTGTGGCGACTGAAAGGTGAGCTGGAGTGACACGGGTCACCTGCATGCAGAAGTCTTTAGGAGCCACTACACTGGCTGCCACATTTCTCACCCCTCACTGCCACCTGAGGTCAGCATGCATCCTCTGTACAGGGCCAGACAATGAATATAATATTTTAGGCTCTGTGGGGCATATGATCTGTCACAACTAAGCAGCACCTCTGCTGTGGCCTGAAAAACAGCTACAGACAATGTATAAGTGAGTAGGTGCAGCTGTGTTCCAAGAAAATTTTATTTACCAAAGAGGGAGTAGGACAGACTTGGCCTGAAGGTATGCTGATGTCCAGGGAGAGGGCACTGTGGAGCAGGCAGGCCCTCAGCTGCCCGTGATAGACATGCAGTCTAAGTGAGAAGTAAGCCTCTGAGGGTTTGTGGCTGCTTGTTATCACAGCATAACCTGGCTCACACTGACAGATATAGGGTGTTCCAGACCTACATGCACCCATTAAGGTTCCTCAGGCAGTTTGGTGATGACTTTAGTCACCTGGTTGGTTTCTTATTTGGTTTAGAGGAGAACTATTCTAAAATGTAAGTAATCATTTCCTAATGTGATCCAATGGCAGTTATAAACAAATAATTGGATTTTTAAAACTGGATGTGGGAGCAGGTTTAAATAGTCAGATGTGCACCTGTCCAACCACTAGGGTCTGGGATCGCTTGTCACAGCACATGACCTCCTTCATCCTGACAATTATAATGGGAGAAGAGCTTTGGCGTTAGAGCCCAGACCCTGATTAGATGGCAGAGGTGCCTGGGAGAATAGGGTTTGGAACTTGCAGGATCTTAGGTTCAGGAATTTGTGAGAAGATGGAATAAAGAAGGGGAAGCAGGTTTGAGGAAATAGGACTGTAGCTATTCTCTGACATATTGAACTTGAGGTACCGCTCCAGGTGAATCTATTAGATAGTAAAATATCTATAGTTTAGAAAAGGACTGTGACAGGAGCTGTGGCTGCGAGCAGGCTGGGCACCACCCACCCTTACCCACCACCAGCCTTCCAGACCTTCAGCTGACACCACAGCAGAGAGAGGCTCCGGGAGCAGACAGCCATGACTGGATAGACGAGACGTCCTGGGTGTCACAGCTGACACCTGGGGGCTCATGATTCATTCCCTGACCCCCCGAGGAGCAGAAAGAACCACCACCTATAGCACTGACCTCGCCCTGAGGAGAGGCCACCTGTGTCTGACAACAAACCAGCCAGGAGGCTCCGCGCCAGCTCCACTTAGCACACGAGCACACTGAGACTCCAGAAGCGACCAGGCAACTCTCCTAGGTGACACAGCTAGTGAGCAGGGGCCTCTGCCCTCCACTGCCCTGTGCCAGGTCCCAGACCAGCCTTCACAGAGTGCCCGCTGCTCTCTGCAGGGGCTGGCGGGCACTTTCCACTCCTCTGGCCAGAGGCCAGCCCTGAACATTTTATAGCAAAGGAAGGTTAGGTGGCCTCTGCCACCACTCCAGCCTGGAGCCAGGGGCAGGGCGGGATGAACAAGCCCGAGGGAGCTGTCAGAGCGAGCTGTCACTCACACCATCCGCTTCCATTTCCTCTGGGTGAATGAAAAGAATGAAAGCTTCTAGTTTTCCCTAGGGTGAGCTGTGCCTGGAGAAGCCCAGGCAGGGAGGGAGCACACATAGGCCCGAGGTGTGTCCCAGAGGCACGCTGCCTGCTGCTAGGACTCAGCATTCTGTCACAGCTACTGCATTTTAGGGCCATTTCTATAGAAACCACAACCCCAGCACTCCCTTTCCACTTTAAAGGAACACAAAAGAGAGCTAGAAGAATCAGTGATATTGAGGATCTGTATCTCAGCCACCTAAGGGCTCCCTTGTCCATGTGGCTTGGGGCACGGCTCAGCCACACTGCTGCTGTGTGTTTGTGGCTGTGAGGATGGGTGCATTTGCTTTTTATCTGGTTCATGTTCCTCCACAGGGCTTCAGAATGAAGCCAGTTAAATGGCAGCAGGACCATCTTGTGTTGGGCAGCCTTTCTGATCTATGGCCACAGGCACATAGGGTCTTTAGGGGGACTCAGCTGAGCCACTTCCCCAGGCCTCGCACACCAGTCTGGCTGGGAGCGCACACAGGCGTGGCCCACCCCGCAACAGACACCCCTGCGCTCCAGAAGAAAACTTGCTGGAACCCACGACCCAGGTCTCACAAAACCTCTGCCCCTTGTTGCCGGGAAGCCTTGGATGTGCTGCTCAGGAGCAGACAGGGCTGGTCTGAGTTCGAGGTGAGCCTTGTCATCTCACAGGGGCCAAAATCACCCATGCCCCTGGGCACAGAGGAGCCCGGGTGCTCCTGCTCTGCTGGCCTGGAGTCCGTCTTCATCATGCCAGCCTGGCACTTGGAGGCCTGTTTGCTGAGGAAGGCAGGCCTGCAGAGTCTGGATTTTCCAGATTGGTGACCACAGAGCCCACTTCTGACTCCCAAGCGCAGAACTCCGGGACTAGGTCCCTCTCCCAGGGCAAATCCAGCCTGGTGGGGAGGAGGGTCCATGAGGCGGTGGCCACAGCAGGACCTGGTGTTTGGCATGCCCTAGCAGCCCTGAGTACGTCCCTAGGTTGGCCAGGGGATGGGCATCCCAGTGTGATGCACAAGACCAACAAAGCAACCAGAAAGGCAGCATGGGAGCAGTGGCAGAACCAGGGGCTAGTCTCTGGGGCAGCCCGACCATGGACAGCACGCTGGGGCTGTGGGAAATAGCACGGGGAAGTTCATCCTAACTCCCGGCCGCTCAGCTCACCCCTTACTTCTCCCAACAACTGAAATAAATTGTGACGGGTGAAAACTGCTTTGCTTGACCTCTTGCCCTTTGTAATGACCTTCATTAAAATCCGGAGCCTGGCCATAACTTTCACCTCCAATCAAAAGGACAGGAAATGTGTCTTAAGGTCCCAGTCACCTCTAAAATGAGCTAATACAGCACTTAATTCTAGTGGAACAAAGTGGGAACAGATTTTTAAAAATCGGTTTCCTCCTGCTCTGGGGGTTGTCTAAGTAGAGCCAGACTGCAGAGCTAGACTACAGAGCCATCGGACCGCTAGCACCCATGGGCCTGCTTGCTCGTTTTTAGAACTCCCAGGGAAAACTGAGGGTGGTGACCTGTGGACCAGACATCCTGGCAGCCCTGGGTAGTTAACTGAAAATAAGGTCTCCCCTTCTCTTATTCTCCCCCTGCTCCTTTATCTTACTCGTGGAAGTAGAGCCGATGCCATGCCTAGAAATAGAAGGCATCTGTAAGAATCTATAATAATAAAAGGGTAACAGGGACAGATCCAAAGACAGAGAAACAGCGATCAGACTCTTAATCCCCAGAGGGAAAGTAGGGGAGGGTGGGGGTAAGGGGAAGAGATCAACCAAAGGACTTGTATGCATGCATATAAGCCAATCCAATGGACATGGACAACAGGGGGATGAGAGCATGAGTGGCGGCGGGGGGGGGGGGAGGATGGGGGTTTAATGGGGGGGATGAGGACACATTTATAATACCTTAACTAATAAAGAATTAAAAAAAATAATAAAAGGGTAATATGCTAATTAGACTGGACGTCATTCTGGACATCATTTGGACGAAGCCGGGGCTGGAGGGAAGCCTGGGTTCTGGTGCCAGAGGGCAGCTGGTGCCCACAGCCAGGGGAAGGAAGGCCTACTCTTGCACGAATTTGTGCATTGGGCCTCTAGTAATGATATAAGTACTAAACAATGTGCTCAATCCGGTTCTGAGGTCTGGCCGTTCCACTCTTTGTTGAAAGGGAAAGGAGTTGGCAAGTGTTAAAGAGATGCTAAAAACATCCAACACTAAACCAGGACATCATCCATAACACCATCAGATCGACTGAGTGCAAACTGAGACAGGATAATGTTATTCAAAGGCTATGCCAATCACAAATCTGCCCTGGTAGTGACAGGGAGACACACCCACCATGGTCAGAGGTCCTGAGAATAGGCAGCGAGAAGGGTGCTGCCTTGACCTCCTCCATGCTAGTTCAGGGGACAGATGCTGAGCTCCGATCTGAGGATGGAGCCTCCAGCCCCAGGAAGGGTGCCCAGTGCCTCCCTGTCCATGCCCCGAGGATGTTACCTGGGTGGGAGCACTGCAGGACACATGCGCCAGGTCCCGGATCCTGGCCGTGGCCCGGGGGTCGCTGGAGCTGATCAGCACTGGAGCACTGATTTCCACGGAATGCCTATGGCTGGCAGCCTGTGAGGACCTGTGTGTCAGGCTGACCGCGGTGAAGGAGTGGCGTTTCTTGGCATTCTTCTTGCCGTCCACACGCTGCTGAAAGGCACTGACTGCCCCTGTGCTGCTTAAAGTGAGACCTGGGGCCACACTGGCCACTGCGCCGGGGTCAGAGGGCAACGAGGCATGGCAGCCAGACACAGCAGCTGGGCAGAACTTGTCCATTGCAATAAGCTGCTTGGCTGAGTCGTTGAGCTAAGTGAGAGAGGGAGAGGGGCTTCGTTAAACAAGGATCACACGCCACACCCAGCTTTCCGAGCTCACCCAGCCTGCACTCACAGTTAGAAATGGACACTGTGCTCAGACTGACCAGATCTTTCTAACAGGGCATCAGGTATGAGAGGTGCAGCCAAACACACAGCGAAGGCTGGAGTGCCATCTGAGGAGTTTATTGAAAAGGCTCTACCACATCTGCCCCAATGGAGCCCCCTGTTCCTGGGCTGCCCATTTCTGAGGGACCAGAGAGAGAGCAGCAAGGAATGCCTAGCCATTATCTGCCAGTCACCATGGCAACAGTTCTTGGCTTGCCTTGCAAATCTGGTCACCCTGGTAGGAGAATTCAAGGCATGTGACCAGGTGGCTGCAGGTGGCAGGAAAGTGTGGCTGGTGAATAGGAGCCTGACTCCGAGCTGACCTGACCTGGTTCATGAGGGGTTAAAACTGCATTCTTTCCAGCAACTCTGCAAGGGCTCAGGGCACAACTCCTTCCTTGTTCTTCCACCCTGTGGGGCCTTTACAGGGAGTTTGATCCCCGTGGAGCTTATCAAGGAAGGCAGGATGGGTTCCAGTCCCTGAGAGCCTGGGTACTTGGGCCCCACGGCTTCAGGCCCCACAGGCAGGCAGTGCCTGAGGCTGGAGGGGCTCTGGGAGAGAGGTGCCCTCTCCTGTTGGGGTCCAGTGGGGCCTCGGTTAGATGAAGGGTCAGTTCATCGTCTAGGAGCCAGAGTGTGCCCCTGGCCCTTCCACCTGGAGCAAGCTTTTCATCCAAGGTGTACAAAGGAGCTGCTTCCCCCGAGGCTGCACTGGGCTCTATCTCTGTTCATGCTAGAGGGGGAACTTGCAGCGACTGCAGGACTGAAGCAGAGATGGCCGGTTCCCATGGGCTTGGAGTAGCCAGGAAGGACACGCACTGTGAGAATGAGCTGGGCCCATCTGAACAGACAGTTAAATAAATCATGCTAGACAAACATCTGTGGAATTCTATTCTTTCTCCCTCCTCTTTTCAGAAGTAGCTGAAGAAACTGAGTCAATGCCAGCTAGCCCCTGGGACCTGCCCTGGGAAGCACAAAGGTAAATAGGAGGGAACTTGAGCCACTGGTCTGTTTTCCCCTCCCCAGACAGAAAGGGTGTGGGATGGGAGCCCTGGTGGAGCAGGCCTGGCACATACTTGCCTGCAGAGTCTGGAATGATGCACGGGGTTCAGATGGCAGCAGTCTGGGATGATGCACTGGGTTTGGGCAGGAGCAGGGAGAGCAAATGCGGCAAGAAAATCCCTAAGGGCAGGAGGCCCTTGCAGGCAGGTAAATGCAAGGACGCCAGCTGTGCACCTGCCTGTCGACTTCACCCGGTGCAGGAGCCACGCCCATGTCCTCAGCTGAGGGGGCATGTGGGCTGGAGCCTGATGGGGCCAGGCCAGAAAGGGCAGTGGAGTCTGGCCTCAGGCCTGGGTTGGGAGATTCCCTCAGCCCGGAGCCATGGAGGCTCTCATTCAGGGTCACTACCAGGGTACAGAGGCCACTGCTAACATCTTGATAAGTTAAAGCATTTTAAGAAGACAAAACTCCACTGAATTGCAGTGGTGGGAGCCCTGATGCAGCCCCTCTGCAAGGCCAGGCAGATCCTATACACACCACTGCCCTGGAGGCCCTTGGGCTGTCAGCATTTTCATTACAAACACCGTCTTTCAGAGGGAGGGTATGAAAATCTCACTCCAGGCCCCCAAACGGTGATCCAAGTCCAGGATTGTTTACCTTGAAATGTTTCCTCCAACAAGCTCAGCTGCTTTGCTCTATTTTATGTCTTTTATTTGCTTGCTCCCTCAACAGTCCTATCTTGAAGAACACCACAGCTCCTGTCCCCCACAGCCCTGTGTGGGCTCTCCAAAGGGGACCCTGGACTATGGTCTGCACCCACACTGCAGGGCCAAGTACAAAATAGAAAAGCTGGAAGGCACAATGCCCCTCATTATGGGCTTCGGAATATGGTCTAAACACTTCCTGTGTGTCTCCACTTGGAAGGTTATTATACAGAACTAATAACAGAATTCCATTCTTCCCTAAAGCAATGGCCCTGGACTATCTCACTGAGTTCCACTGTTCCTCTGTTGAGTCAGTATTAGAAATTCCAATTTCAAGAACAGGAAATCCAGGCACCTACAGGTCAGGTGTGTGCACATCCAGCCCACTCGATGCCATAGGGAGCTGAGCATAGTGCCAGGGGCGCTGCACTGCCCACCGCTGGCACTGCTGGCCACTGCCTGAGCCCGTCCTCAACCACACTGCCCTCTCCTTCTCCACGGAGAACCAGGGTGCAGGGGCATGGCGCCTTTCTCACTCACCCTGTAACAATCCAAAGCCCATGATAGGTGCTGAAAGTGAGGGCCAATACATTTCCAGTGACTATAGTGCTTTCAACAAACTATAGGAAAAGTAAGAACTTCAGCTTTCAGGTGATGAATCCACACATTTCATCAGCAGCTCTTAGAGGTGAGGGAACATCCAGGGAAAGGCCTATTGATGAGGAACTGTTCAATTTTGTCTTCTTTACTAAATTGTTGTTGGTGACAAGTAGCTTCTTATTGGAGATAGAGATAGATAGATAGATGATAGATAAATAGATAGATAGACAATAGGTAGATAGATAAGATGATAGATTGAAGATTGATAATAGATAGATGATAGATAGATAATAGATAGACAGATAGATAGATGATAGAAAATTACCCAGGAATTGACCACCATGCCTGGAGTCCCGGGCTTGCTAGACTTTGATAGGTGCAGTGGGAGAACTTCAGCTCTGGGACTTGCTCCTGGAGACAAAGCTCACTGTCCAGGGAAGCTGCCATCACCTTTCCAACAAACTCCATGAGCCATGTGACATGGTGCTCAGGGCTGGGCCTGGCAGCTGGCACCACCCACGCTGTCCCGGTTGGAAAGCCTCTCTCTGGGTGCACATGTCCACACCACATAGACCCACCATTGCAGGACACCTGCAGCTACCACGACCTGCCACCAGTGGCTCCTACATCAGATTCTTCGGAGCAGCCATAATATCCCATTTCCTCCTACTCTGACTGGAGAAACCAGATGGCTCTGCTCTGTGCTGTGTTGGCACCGCGGCTCAGTTTCCCAGGGCCTGGGGGACCCAGGAGATAACGAGCAAACATGGGAGATTTCCTCTTCCTTCCCCCACAACCGGAATGCTAGAATGCGCTGTAAGTGGCTGCTGACTGGGGAGCGGTGGAGTGTGGTGATGTGGACAAGTGCTTCCTGCTGAGGGTGCTCCCCTCTCTCAGCCAAAATGCTCACCTGGGAGTGAACGGGCTCTGCTGTCTGTCCACAGGTGGGGTCACCTGATTTGTATCTCAAGTGGGTACCTCCAACCCCCACAGACAGCACACTCAGACAGACTGTGCTTTTGTCACCACACACATGACACAAAAATCAATGATTAACCAACACATCCAGTAACTCCAATTTTGATTGTTCTTTATGGAAATAGAAGACATTTTCAACTACCATACGAAATGGAAACAGAGTGGCAGCCCCAATGTTTAAAAGTCTTGATGAGCTTGTCCATTTATCAGAGGACCATCACTGGCACTTGGAAAGGAGGGACCCCCCACAGAGCCTGCTCCCTCATGCTCTGCGGGTCCCTCCGCAAGGCCAGGGCTCAATCCACATGCTCCGGGGAACACATCCTGGGGCAGGTCAGCTCATAGTCACACTGCCCTCCGCCGGGGTCCCGTCTGGTCAATGGGACAGTGATGGTCAGCCAAGGTGGCTTCCCTGTCAGGGACTCTGTATCCTGCCAGTGTGGTTAGCAACTGTGGATGAAAAGGGACCACATGCTAACCTGACTAGCTCAGGGGAGGCCTGTGTGGTGGCCATGCAAACTCAGAGACCTAAAGTAAGCACAAAGGATAGTCTGAAATGAAAGCTTTTAAAATAAAAGCAGTTTATGGAAGATAGTCATGTTCTAAGCTAGAATCTTCCCGGACAAAGGTCAATCTTTACCTTAATTAAGTCTGTCTATTGTCTTTTGCATCTAAGATAACATACCTTTGGAATGTCAAAGTAACTCCATTTTTCTGGACCCCTCAGACCACAACCAATGCACCTGGACGAAGACCCTAAATTCCCTCATTGCTATTGTTATCATGTTCATTATTGACTATTAACTACCCTGTACCCACCTATGTAAAAGAAGTATGTCTATCATTTCACTTTTCATCCAATCCCAGAGGTTCCCTCCCTCCCCAACCCCTGCTTTGCTTTCTCCCACCTCCCTAATCTATCACCAAGGGATTTCATGTAACCCACATACACCTCCTCTTTTGATTGTAATGTATAAAATAAGGTGCAGAACTGCCAGTCTCTGGAGCATTATCTCGAACCGATTGAGATTTTGCCTCCTGGCAGTTGTCGGCAGTTTGGCTCAAATAAACTCACAAAATTCTCTATAGGTTTGAATGTTTCTTCTGTTAACAGGACCTTCTTTTTCGATTTTGTCTCACCAACTTTATTAGCTCAACTGTGATATTCCTCTACAACCACTCTTTTCCTCCAACCATAGAAACATCTAGAAAAGTAGGGAGGACTGTGGAGTTCCTTCCTTCCATTGTTTAACTAGTTCTACAAGTGGCCTGTTACAATAGGCTGTATCATCCCAGCTGCACCAGAACTTGGGGACCAAGTGGACTAAAGAAGGCTCTCCACAGCAACTTATAGGAGCCATGAGCCCACCCCGCCCCCCCCCGCCGCCACCCCCCAGGGGACCTGAGGCCAGCACAGATTTGGGTACTTGGTCTGGGAAAGAGCCGCCAGGCCCTGTGCAGAGTGCGGTCACCCAGACACACCTGTTCTCATTGAGAGGACTTTAAGCTGAATGTGTGTAGGAGAAATTTTTAAACAAGGAATACGATTGGAAAACCAGACATATGGGATACAACATGAAAGGAAGGACACTGGGGTGAG